GAGCCTAAAAAGGGAGACTGAGAGTTAGACAGCAAATGGAAGGTCAGTGAATAAAAGGGCTGTACTCCATCTGACCAAAGGTTCACCTGAGTGTCCTGTGTCCAACACTGACCGTAGGCAGGTGGCAACAAAAGCATAAGGACAGAGCAGGTGTTTAGGACACTCCAAGTACTCCTCTGGCCTCCCATAATTTTCAGCTCATCGTAGGCCACATACCGGTGTTGTCTATTTAACAAACCTCAGTGTTGTCCAGACTTGTCTCAAACCCATGTAAATATTATGCACCCGGAAGATCCTTTGGCAAGAAGTCGTGGAGGTTTGCTGTCAGTTGGCTGAGAAGCCATCGCCTTGAGAGACTTGAGAAACTTGCTGCCTGGCCACACTGCATGGACACCCTGGTTCACGTCTGCCCAGCCCAATCCACCCCCTTTCACGTGTCCCCTGTGCCACCCAGGAGCCTCCCAACGTCACGGGGCTCAGTCCCTCCTCCCATCACAGCTCCTTGCCTTGCACAGAGGGACAGAAGGAACAAGGGGACGGGGCCTTCCCACCGGTCACGTTGTGTTGCCACCCATGCACTGAGTGAACTTGGTGTTCAGGGTTTCACCCCAGTTCTGGCAAGGACTTGCTCTGGAATGGCAGCTTCTCCCTCCGTCTTTTGCTTATGTGTGTCTTAGAGTTGGTCTCTCTGGCTGTGTTCAAGATAAACATGCTTCTCTACTCCAGGATGTGAAAACCAAGTTAATTTGCCTGGTGCATGCTATGAGGTCCCTAGGTGCAATGGTTCCAGAAAAAAAAAAAAGTTGTTTATGCTCCTTGACTAAAGCCTGAGGTTCATCCAGATTTAGAGCCTGGTCACTTACCCAGGTGGGGGTTTAGGAAGACACGTACTGAGGAAAAGCCCAGACTTGTCCAGTGACCCCGCACAGGCAGCCAGCTCACAACCAGACCCACGCTGAAACAAGGCTTCTGCAAGAAAGGCAGTGAGAGGGATGATCAGGCCTTGCCTGCCAGGCCTTAAATATTCTGGGGCAGGTGGCTGAGAAAATCAGGCAGCAGGTAGGACCTTGTCTGCTGGTCTCAGGTATAGCTCAGGAGGATTGCAATGTGGTAGGGGAGATACCTCAAAGCATCACTACTGCCAGTTGTGCAGGGGTTGAAAGTTAGCCCGAAGGATGCTGTACAAGGAAAAGGTTGTGCACAGTTAGGCACAATTAGTTTAAATGCAGACATGTTGGTTTTCAAGTTGATTTTTTGCTTCGAAGCAAATATGAGTCAACTGCCCAGCGGCTTGCCTGCATCTTAGTTGCTGCAGGAAGAAAGGACCTGCCCTGTAGTTTTACAGAGCTTCCATGTGAATTTGAGGTCAGAAGCTTGTTTTGGTATAGCTGGACGTGGCACAGCACGGAGTCTGGCAGAGCTTGCTCCTCCCTGTCTCAGGACAGCCTGCATTGGAGGGGTATGATAGTCTGTCACACTAGAAACAAGGTCAAAGTACACAGAGCTACACACGCCCTTCAAGTACATACAAACCCCAACAGTTAGCCACCGTTAGGTAGTTAATATAAGGCACTATTGTACAATTAGAGCTCTTGCTATGTTTTCTTTAGAGGCGTGCACGATTCCTGTCAGATAGCACAAGTATTTAATTTCCTGCGATCAAAGAGCAGGGTCCTGACAGCAGAAGTGAAAATTTACCCTCTTCCTCAGAAATCTGTGTGTGGGATTAGCTCAAAACTGGAGTCCCGGCTGAGCGGGGGGCAGCTGGCCTGGTCGCTTTGCGCGGGAGCAGCAACCGCTTGAGGAAGCAAACTGCTGCTATTGCACCTTGATTTAGGCAAGTGCAAGTGAACTGGTGGCAATTAAAAGCGACTGAAGTTTTGTACCTTGTCTTCCCTATGAGAATATATTGCCTTCTCCTACTCACTTCCAAAGGATATATCCGTGCTAACAAAATCCTAATAATACCCATCTTTATCATCTGTTCCTTCAGAGATCAAAATGTGTCCCTGTAATTCGCAGAGCAAGCATCAGTATTGGAAATCAGCTGCAATATGTATGCAATGAACAAATCATAGTGTCTGTGGTATTCAGCGGCACATTAATGGTGGACTCGGTAGTGTTAGGGTAATGGTTGGACTCAATGATCTCAAGGGTCTTTTCCAACCTAAATGATTCTGTGATTTTGTGTTTATGGGTGACATATTACCACCTGTTTCTGGAATCCTGTCAGATACAGGACTTAAGTCTGAGTTTATGCAACTTGAAATTGCTAAGCCATGGAATTGAATATCCATTTTATAATTAAACTATTTGCAAGAGAAAGGGCAATTCTATGTTAGCTACGTACAGGTTCTAGTACAAGCTGGACAAAGGGACTCCGCACAATGTGGCTTAAATGTCATGTAAGACAAGTGAAGTTAATGTTTAAAAAAGAATAAAAGTCACTAATTCCCTCTGCTACAACTGCACAAGTGAGGATTACTTTGGCTGTCAGGCCAGTCCACTGCTATGCTAGTATCCCTGAAAGCAGCTCCTCCCAACTGCCTCAGCAAGCATGCCTGGAAAGGGTTTTGTCTGTCGAAGGTAAAATTTTCCTATTTCTGTGCAAGTAACGGTACAAAACATTATCTGTCTAGCAGGAGAAAACTCACCACTAACTTTTCCCTTCCTTTCCTCCAAAGAGCATCAGGAAGCAGTTGCAGGCCACAGGAAATTTTAAAAGGGAAATAAAAATAAAGAGGGTATGAGGAACTACAGGCCAGTCAGTCTCACCTATGTTCCGGAAAGATCATGGAGCAGATCCCAGTGGAAACTATGCTGGGGCACATGGAAAACAAGGAGGTGATTGGTGACAGCCGACACGGCTTCACTAAGGGCAGATCGTGCCTGACAAATTTGGTGGCCTTCTACAACAGGGTTACAGCGTTGGTGGATAAGGGAAGAGCGACTGGCTTCATCTACCCAGACTTGTGCAAAGTGTTTGACACTGTCCCGCATGACATCCTTGTCCCTAAATTGGAGAGACATGGATTTGATGGATGAAACACTTGGTGGAAAAGGAATTGGCTGGATGGTCTCACTCAAAGACTTGCAGTCAACGGCTCGATGCCCGAGTGGAGAGCAGTGATGAGTGGTGTTCCTCAGGGGTCGGCGTTGGGACCAGCGCTATTTAACATCTTTGATGGTGACACAGACAGTGGGATCGATGCACCCTCAGCAAGTTCACTGGTGACACTGAGCTGTGTGGTGCGGGGACACGCTGGAGGGCAGGGATGGCATCCAGAGGGACCTGGACAGGCTGGAGAGGTGGGACCGTGCAAACCTCATGGAGTTCACCAAGGCCAAGTGCAAGGTCCTGCCCGTGGGTCAGGGCAATCCCCAGCACAAACCCAGGCTGGGTGAGGAGTGGATGGAGAGCAGCCCTGCGGAGAGGGACTTGGGGGCAGCAGTGGATGGAAAACTGCCTGTGAGCCAGCACTGTGCGCTCGCAGCCCAGAATGGCAACCGTGTCCTGGGCTGCATCAAGAGCAGGGTGGCAGCAGGTCAAGGGAGGGGATTCTCCCCCTCTGCTCCGCTCTGGGGAGACCCCCCTGCAGTGCTGGGGCCAGCTCGGGGGCCCCCAACAGCAGAAGGACACGGAGCTGCTCGAGTGGGGCCAGAGGAGCCACGAAGATGCTGGGGGGGCTGGAGCAGCTCCGCTGGGGGGCCGGGCTGAGAGAGTTGGGGGGGTTCAGCCTGGAGAAGAGAAGGCTCCGGGGAGACCTTAGAGCGGCCTCCCAGTGCTTAAAGGGGGGACAGGAAAGGTGGGGAGGGACTCTGGATCAGGGGGTGTGGGGATAGGATGAGGGGTAATGGTTTTAAACTGACAGAGGGCAGATTTAGATGAGATATGAGGAAGCAATTCTTCCCTGTGCGGGGGGTGAGGCGCTGGCTCAGGGTGCCCAGAGCAGCTGTGGCTGCCCCCTCCCTGGAAGGGTTCAAGGCCAGGTTGGACGGGGCTGGGAGCACCCTGGGCTGGGGGAAGGGGGCCCTGCCCGTGGCAGCGGGGGTGGAGCTGGGTGATCTCTAAGGCCCCTTCCAACCCAAACCATTGTATGATTCTATGATAGCTCCTTCTGTGCTTCTCCAGTAGTTTTCTACAGTCTGAGGAGGTGCGCAGCACATACATGATTTGCTGAGGATGAGTGTTTAACAGATGTTACAATTGTAATTTAGAAGCAAGATGCATTTGTTATGCAGTTTGTTTGGGGCTGCAGGAGCTGAAGGGCCTAGGATCCGAGGCTTAAAAGGGAAGGAAGAGGGAAGCAGGAGGAGGGCAGCTGCCACCCCATCATCCGCACACACGGTGAATATGGACAGGCCTGGGCTAGCAGTGCCAGGAATAATGAACTGGAAGTGGGCTTCCAAAACAAAAATATTTCACAACCCCTGACACCAAGAAAACAGAAAAATTCTTCATGTTTCCAGAGGCAGAATGTGGCAGGATTGGAAAAGGAGCCACCAAGTCCTCCCTGAGCAAGAGATTTAGTCTTGGCGTTGCCACACCTGCCCCTCCATGCCTGTGGCAGCCTCTGCCAGCCTCCCTCGGGCGCGCGCAGAGGCCGCAGGCAGCAGCACTGCCTACACGGAGGGCAGTAATTGCTTTTCCTTTCTGCCAGCTCCAGGTAACTGTAGTAGCCACACTGCATTGTACCCGAATGCAAAAAAAAACCAAACAAACAAAAAAAACAACCCAAAAAAACCCCACACGATACTGAAGTGAGCACTTTTTGGAAAATATGACAAGTTTGCATGTCTTTGGAGACGAGGCACACTGCAGAAGTTTCTTGCAGCAAGAGTCAAGGATGGCCTGAAATCTCGAGGGGCAAAAGGTAGGAAATGAATAGCAAGCTTTGTTACGAAGACCACAACTTTAAGGAATAATATAAAGGAATATAAATTCTTGTTAAGAAATCTCCACCTACTGTGCATGCTATAGGAAATACAAGACAGGAGGATTTCTGTCCCAGTTTTATTTTCATTTGTTTCAGTGCAAGATTGAAACAGTCAAACTAAAACAGACATTATGTGCTCATACCATTTACAGTATTTACATAATATACATTTTTTTTTTTTTTTTTGCTCGACAGGTAATTCTAGCAACTTGGAACAAAAGTGCAAGTGAAAAGAACCACTGGTGTAAAAACTTGAACCTTCCTGTTGATCATGGTGCAACACTTGAACTAACAGAAGTAACAAGTGGGGTAAATGCACTTCATAGTAAGCAAGCCTGGTTGTCACTGTGAAGTGACAGATCCTGCTGAGCTTTATTTACACCAAACATAAGCCAGCAGGAAGCTATTACTCTATCCAGAAAATTGATGAGTGAGTTCACAAGTGATCCCTTCTTCATTTTAACATTGAACAGCAGAATCGCAGTGTTGAACTTTCTATTGTGCAAATAGATAGCAATTAATTTCAAATGCTCTGTTGTATTAAATGTCAAAATATATTTTAACTTCCTTATTATACATGCTATAAAATTACACTAAAAAGTTCAATTTTCCAAAGTAACAATTACCTTTATATATATATATTCTATATATATATTATTTTTTTTTAAATACCCAGGATAAAGCTATACCAGCTCCAGTATGGCTGTGTTTTTTTCATAAGCATCTACCAAAGTCCTGTACATAACCAAAGCCTCATGTAAAAGTTAGTTTTCCAGGTATGCTACTTTGCTCACCTTCTCATTCTCCCTTCCCTTCTTTTTAAAGCACCTTTCCACATGTTCCACGCTGTGGCTGTGCTCCCTTTTACCATCAGGCTATGCTGCCTTTCTGGTGAAAGGGCTGAAATTCAGTCCCTCCAATTAAGCAGCCAAGTTGCGCGGCCACTGACGGACAGGCAGCTGGCAACATTTTTCACCTCTTGGAGTGTTCCTTCAGTACAGTACTGCAATCTCCAGGTCAGACACAATTCCATACTGTCAAATACCCGACATCAGCAGGAATTATTTTACACTTCATGGCCACGAACAGGGGTGCTTTTCCATACACAACCTGTACACATGCTACCACAGCCTAAGTGCAAAACAGAGTGTACGGTGGTCTCACTGCATGGGGTCCAACGAAAAGCAATCTGAATTCTACAGGTACAGCTTATCACCCACCCTAGTGATTTTCTCCACTGTTTTATCCTCAAGTAGCACTAACCAAATTAAAATTTTCACCTTTAATATATATACACATACACCTTTTAATATTTTTTTATACACACACACACACACACACACACACGTATGTGGCATTGGTACATTCATTGCTAGAGAAACTTATTTACAATTAGTTGGAAAAATTAAATTGTACCAAGATACAGTATACCAAAACAAAATTGGCATTTGTGCTTTCTGTTTGTACAGGAGTATTTTTTGTCATTTCAAAAAAAGTTTATTTTTTTATTTGTATCAGGACATGTCACATGATGAAAAAAGTTAGAAAACAGCTAGGATTGAGAATTACAGAGCATCAGCTTTCCTCATATGTCCCAATAAGTCTACAGAAAAGCTGTTTTCTATAAAAATTCTCCATTCAAACACCTATGTGGTTACCCAAGCTTGCTTGAGGATCTTCTCAATAAATAATAACACACAGCGGAAGAACCATGCACCCTGTCTTGCACTGTGCATATCCATGAGACAAAAGTTTCTGCTTTCACTGAGTAACATGTTAATAAAACAGCAGTTAAACTTCACTTTTTACTCAAGACCTCAAAGTGCTTTTAAAAAGAAGGAAATACCCCCATTCTACACTGTAGTTAAGAGGCACGAGGAATAAGGCTTGAATTACTGTCTTCAGACACTGACCAGGCTGTGGAAACCAAGAGCTTAAACTCCAGATTCTCCCCAATCTCTTTACTGGGCTGGAGAATCCCACTTTCTCAAGTAATCTCTATTTTTGAATGTAGACGCTTGTTTATAATCTGTAACATTAACCAAAAAAATAGCAGCTCCACAGCCCAAACAGCCCAGCTATACTTCAGTAAAGGTACTTTTCTCTTGCAAGCATGAAATAAATTCATTAGAAAGCTGTTTAATTAAAAACAGAGCTGAGTTTAACCTTCATAGTGACTTAGTAAATACAGGTAGTATACAGATGCAGAGCAGGCTGTAAGCACCTCTTTGACTGGGCTACCAAGTATTTTCTGACCAATTGTAATTTCAGCATGGGGCTACATAAAAGTGACCACCTGCCTTATCTGTTTATGCTTCAGTAACCACTGGAGACCAGAAAAGTATTGCTAAGATATACAATATTAACTAAATCATTAAAAAGTGAATTTTTAAAATTTTTTTTCAATACAAAGCCTATCAGGCTGGGTGCTGAAGGAAGACTGCTGCCATCCACTTCAGGAACTAAAATATACAGCACATGTGCTGTTACTTTGCAAGCAATTTCATTATTTTAGGAGTAAGAGATCTGTGTCCTAATAGGAAGTCATAGCATTCACATTCATTTCAGGAAACACTGACCTCTTTCAGACCACAAACTACTCTTCTTCTACCTGTTATCTATGTGCACATTTGCAATGCTTGTCCACAGGCTTCTTGTAAAAGGAGGTTTCTTCTGGTCCTCCGTTTTGACAAACTACCCTCTCAGAGATGGCTGGAGGATCCCTTTTTCAACAAGGTGAGATTTCAGGGTTTTATACACGCTTAATTGTTGCTCAGGCTGAAGTATCAAAAGCTGTTTCAGTAATTTGCTGGGATTTGGACCCCTGTCAATGAAAAAAGAACATTATTTTTTTTGTGAGCCGCAGCTCTAAAGAAACTTTTCAACAGCTTTCCATTTTCCTCTTGCTGCACAAACAATGCCTTTTCCTTTATGGGGACAAAAAGTTCTGGATTTCTCCCAGTCTATCTCCTCAGGATGCATGGGCAAGCATTACTGGTAAAGCACACTCCTTAGCTCAATCTGAACAGAACCTATAACGCATTCCTTGTATTTGCTGTCAAACGGGGATATTAAAAAGGCTTATGACAAATAAGATTCACTGATTCATCCTTAATCACTGTAGTTAACATTTTTCATCAACAGATCTTTTCTAGTTTAGTATCTGTTGCCAGTTAAGCTGTGTACTATTGAACTAAATAGAAAGTTGGCCAAGTTGGTAAAGAAAAAACACAAATTAAACCAAGCTTTTCTAAATACCAGCCTCATTGGGTATCTAATAATTATTTAGCCATATGCATTTACAAAACTAAGGGCAAATATCAGTTTGTACACCTACAGCCCCTTAATCCCCCCCCGCCCCAGGAACTAAAATGACTGACTGTAAGAGAATTGCCATTCCTATGATTTCTTCTTGAAAGCTGGTGTGGTTCAGGGAAGACGAGCAGTATTTTTAAGAAGTTGTCTCCTCTCTTTAACCATAGCATTTTCATCTTAACAGAAAATCCCAAGTCAAGCGACTTGAGAAATACCAGAACTTACAGGGAAAACTGCAACCTACAGGCTCCTCAGGAGCCATGCAGGGAAAGCAGATGCTGCAGCAATCCTCCTGCCCAAAACCTCATCCTCATGCCCCCCTGTAATCAGTAAATTCTAGTAAAACTTCTAAGAAGCTGCCACACAAAACTGTACAGTATTTAGGGTGCACAGGTTACCTTTAACGGCAGTCACAGAAACTTTAAGGCACAGCTTGAACCTGATGCAAATCCTAGGCAGTGACATATGTTTGCTTAATAGTTCTGTATTTGAAATCACTGTATAAATGAGATTTAGAAACCTGCAATCTCTGCTATGTTAACAGTGCAAAGCATAACTCATATGAAATAACTCTGGTACAGCTCCTATGCAAGCTTAAGTAGTTAATGTTGTAAAAAGCCCATACCTTATAAAACTGGTGATATAGACATGAACAAATGTGGCCATCAAGTACTGACAATCAAAGCGATCCATAATCCCACCATGTCCAGGGATAGTGTCTGCAAAATCCTTTTGGGTGTGAAGGACAGGGGAGAGAAAAAAAAAAAAAAAAAAAAAAAAATGGTCAGTGATTCTGATGAAACACACTATGATGTACTTGACATCAGTGCATTAAGGCTGCAATTAAGCTACAGTTTCACTGCACTGAGCCAGAAGTTAGCAAGAGCCTCCTTTGCTAAAGGAGTTTTTAACTGCAAAGGTGAGTCAAGGGGCGAGAAGAAAAAGAAGTGATGAAGCAACTTGTCCACAGTATCACACAAGAGGACAGCGGTAGGTCAGGTGCAGGTTTGCCAGTGCTGAGTACACTTGCGTGCCTATACATACTTCATTTTATAGCAAGCCTCTTAAGCTAATGGCTGTCATTTCTTGCTTCTATAGAATCTAATTCTCCTCTTTAATACTTTTATTGCTTTATCTCTATTGGTAGCTGCTGCTGAAGCACTTGTTACCAGGGAATACGTATTTGCTACAAGAGAAGCAGGAACCTGAAGACTCCTTCCACCATCTAACACTGGCTTTGCAAGTCATACTGCCCATTCACCTGCTATTTTTTTTAATGGGTTCTTGGTAACCACAGTTAAAAACCATAATGTGTGCATACTATATATACATATATATATTTAACAGAATAAAAAAATCTGCAGTGAAAAAGTTATCACTGCTTTAAAAACAGAAATATTTCTGATGCAAACAAAGCTCGATATACCACCTTTGTGTTACCTGACCTTGTCTGTAGAACAACTTTATCGGTCAAATTACCCTCATAGATCCTTTTTGTCATCCACACTCACTTGTGTATTCTCTGGGTGAAAATCCCAACCTTAGTCATGTGGGGCAAGTGCTAGCAAGTTAAACCGGTGCCACTCACCTGCCCAGCACTGGAGGGCAGCTGATGGAATATAACCTAACCTACCCGCTGCCTTCAGCAACAACTCCACAATATCCCTGTCTTCCCAACAGTCCTTTGGTCACCACCTTGGGCCCAGAAGTATTACCAAAAAAAAAAAAAAAAAAAAAAAATTCTACTTTTTAATGTCCTATTTTAAGAATAAATGATGCTTTTCAGAAGCATTTTTTTCCCCAAAAAGCCCTTCTTCCCACAAACAGTGTTTTACTGTCTGGATGTACAGGTACAACAGCACATGAGGCTGTAACTAGCAAAATGCCAGACAAGCTGCTCCAACCGGCATAAGAAAGAGATGTAAGTACAGGCACATGTATGGGAGTTCAGCACAGAGAGGTTTATATGCTTCTGTGCAAAGCACAGGCCAGAGCTGGTGACGTAGGGAACAACAGCAAGAGCAACAACAAGCAACAGGGTAATAATTACAGCAATCCTACCAAGACAAAGAAGGTTGGGAGAAAATTTGGGGTTGCCCTCTTCCCATACTCCTGCTGCCACTTAATAGCAGCCAGGGACAAGGCTGCCACAAGCGGCAGCGCACGCCTTGCAATAAACAGGGGGTAGCACATCACACCATTTGCCGACACACGCCCTGGTTAGAGAGGGGCACTGTATTGGCAGAGGCAGCCAAACCGCTCGTGCTCCGGTGAGCCTGACACATCGGCACCCGCGTACAGCACAGATGCTGTTGGTAAAACACAGCCAAGCCACGATCCGAAGGGCAAACCACTGTCAGTGCTTCTCAGGCGTCTACAGATTGCCTTTCATGTCATGCGTATCTCACAACCGGCTTGTCTAAACCACTTCTGCAACATGACTTGGAAGAGTAATTATCAACCAAAACAGGAAGCCAAATTATTCTTAGATTTCCAACGCTAAAGTCACGTGCTGATTACACAAAGTGTTGAGAATAACACATATCTATATCTGATAAAACTAAGTACTGCTGCTGATGCTAAAAAACAGCTCAAACAACATCACACTTTAATAGAAAGACTACACACTACAGTGAATGATTTAAAAAAAAAACAAACCCAACCCACCAATTTGTCTAATTCAAAGAGAAAAACAAAACAAAACCAGATTACAGGAGTCATTACATACCTTGATTTTGAAAGCTCTTTTAAATCCACTGGCGAAGAATCCTCCAAATGGCCCAATTAATGAGGCAAATGTTGACAGTGCAATGCTGTGCATCTGAAATGGGTACATATTCACAGTTTCCTACAATAAAAATAATTAGCACTGTATTTCAATATGTTTGACTGTGGGCATTTTAAGCTTAAATATCTTAAAATGGGGCTGTTGCAGAGCAAATTTTCACAAAACTCCAGCCTTCCTGACACAAAGTAATACTATAAAGAAAGGAAAAATAGACACACTGTAGAAAGCTGCTGAAAGGTCTGATCACGCGAACAGGATGAAGTATTTGGGGTTGCCAGGGGAGTTATCTTTAACAAATGACGTGGTTTTCAGCAAATCCCTTAGATGATCATAAGGAATATAACTATTAATTCCGTAACGTACAATGGGGCTGTCCAGTCTTTTCCTGGCTCTGCTTTTCCAGCTCCATTTCCTGTAAACAAAGGAGCTTTCCTACAAATTCCTAGTATTGCTCTAGTAAGTGGCCCAATGCTCTCCACAAACCTGTCACCTTCACTCAATTCACTGTCAGTTCTTTCAACTGCTCTCACAAAAGATAGGTATGAATTTTGCACTGTCTGCCATACCGTCACCTTTGTGTATATACAGCAATAACAGGAGATAAAAGGTTTACCCCCATTAATACTTTTGGGTTTGCTTTTAAACAGATATTGTTCCCCTCAGCCTCTTCACAGACTTGAAATTTGTTCTGACCCATTTGAGTTCTTACAGGTAAGAGAGACTCCATTGGCAACAGATACCTCTTTTCCTTCCTGACACGGATTAGAAAAAAAGGGAAGTTTTTTGGTTCACTGTGGTATTTAGGGTTTTTCTTTTTTGATTGAGGTTTTTTGGTTTGTTTGGATTCTCTGGTTTTTGGAGTTTTGAATTGTTTTGGGGGTTTATTTTGTAACTTAGCTTTGAGCACTTTCAAGTCAGTGGTACAAGCTCCAGCCTTTGAGGGAATGCTATGCTGGCCGCATCCCTGAGAGCAGAGCGCTCCTCACCTGGCAAGTCTTGATAAACACCATCTGTAGCTGAAAAATCCTGTACCTTGTGTTTCTGGTTTGCATCACAGCTGCCCAACACCAACTAACTTCTTGACTACTTTGTGTGTTATCCTAAGACACCTTTCTTTTAGGCTAAATTATTCAGCTGGTCAAACAGAAAAGTTTATGAGTTGGAATTATTAAGTCAATTCTTTGGGGAGAACACAAGGCTCAACATCTTCTGAGACCAAGCAAAACATCTTCCAAACATAACGTGGTCATATTTCTGAGAGAGTACATCAGGAATTGAGTAACAGAGGGAAAACCAAAAACAGGCTGTTGCTCAAATAAGTCGATACAATTTGACTTCCTATGAAGAGTGCTAAAACTGTCTCCTAAAAAGGCTTGTTAGAGCCTGGCAAAAGTAGTCCGGAAGTGCACGTGGAACTACCATCTCTTTTTAGGGTTAACTGATAGCTCTCTATTAGACTGGCACAGAGCTGGGTGTTCCCATCTCCTTGCTCTTTACTAAAGTACACAATATAGCTGGACACAGTAAGATTTCTCTCTGCTCAGTCCACATTATGTTTTTGTGCAGAAAAATCCTTATTAAATTTACAATCAACTCCACGGTCCCTGAAGTAATACTACATTCATTTGGTGTGAAAATACCAGAGCTCCTTCTAGAAGCAATCTTGCTTTTCTAAGCACTGCTTTTAGTCTTGAGTTTGGTTGCTACAGTTTTCAGTTTGTGCTTTCTTCTTGTAACCACATCAACTTTCCTTCTTGGGTGTTACACCCATGTAACCAGCGGTAAAGCCCACTGCCTTCCCCAGTGCTGTGCACTCACTCTCTGGGCTGAGCCACTGCCCAGGTGAGGGGAGTGCTGCAGAACCCGCTTGTCCTGCGCTTATCCCAGTCGCCTCCTCTTTGCCCTAAAGGAAAGATAACGGCAGACGGCTTCGTTTCATTTCGGTATTCTCTTCCTGTTGGAGTGCCCCTGGAGACGTGACTTCAGAAGCACTGCTTTGTATAGTAGGATAATTGATGACCTATTTCCTGACAGGTTAAGATACAACAGCTCACTTAAAAGAATTTGCAGGCTGGGCGTGAGGAAAAGGGTTGGTGACTACGTTACATGGAACTATGACTGTTACTCCTTTTTCACTCAGCATAGAAATAACGGCACTAACACACAAGATGCTATGTGGTGAAGAAAGTACAAGTGCAATCCTAACAGCAGCTACACACTAGCTGAAAACGGAATAAAGTTCTGTGAGATTATTTAAATTTGCTACTAATTCGGGCCATAACAAGCCTTTGTCCACCTTCCACAATAGTTTAAAAGCTGCTCTTCAAAAATAGGTCTGTCTGCAAAACATTTAAGTGGCATCCATTTCCAGCACAAAGTGAATACAAGCCCCAAGAACACAGGCAGGTTTCCTCGGGTGACTCTGGCAACGCATTTCAATTCTGCCTGGGTGAGTACCTCCCCCATCTGAACAACAGAGACGCTCATGGTATCGATTCAGCTCTTACCCTTCAAGCCTTACCAGCATTCATACACCTTTCTGAAAAGGTTTAGAAAACCACTCAACATGGGAAGTATGATTTCAATTTTAACCAAAGTCTTGGTTTCTCCCTTACCCATCCCAACACAGCCTGAAGCAATGGTGGCACAGAGTACTTCTTCATCTGAAAGAGCTCTGAAGGTTCACACTCTGTCACAAATCTGTTGGTTTCACTGTTATATTCCACAGGGCAGACAAAGTACTGATGTTGAGCCAGAAAATAGGAAAACTGAAAAGCAAAACAAGGATTCCTGAAATAGGCATTGGTTGTTACAGTCAAAAATCATACTTTAATGGATGATTTTGTCATCACAAGCTGAGGAAAATGAAAATCTTTTCAATAACAAAGAGACCCAGAATGGATTAAAATTGGCCTGTTTAAGTTAGAGAATGCCTTAACAAGGCAGACAAATGTGGACGTTCAATGTGCTTCGTGATGATTTCCCAACTTGTTTTCCTTTTTGTATCTCTCAGATGCATACCTACTGGATGTTTCTGCATTATAAAATCCCCAAATGTTAGCCACTCATCATTTCTTTGCAGTTCACTTCTCCATTAAAACTTGAACTATCACTTCTGCCGAGTTTGGCAGTTATGAGTTCTGCTAACCTCGGTGATAAATTACTTATCAGAACAGTTAGTGTATATCATTATTATCTTCTATGCATGTCATCAGTGTAAACTACTTCTCATGACAAATATCATTATAGAATATGCAATAAAAAAGTACCACTTTACAAAGCATACATAACGCTATCAATAAACTTCAGTTTCAAAACGGGGATGCAACTAATAGATAAAACAATTTCAGATATAGTAGCAGTACTGGCAAAAATAGTCAATATAACCTATTCAGAAGAGGTACAAGCCTTGCCCAGCTTTTCCAGCTAGTTACAAATTGGCAGAATTCTCTAGCCAAACAAAAACCCTCAAAGTCTTAGGCTTTCAACAGTTTGAGATGATCAAATTTGTGAGTAATTTTACTTCAGGTAAAAACAGGATGCTGAACACTGAACCTATACGAGGAAAGTCCTGTGGTTACTTACAATAAATCCAAATACAACTGTGGAAAAGAAGCCTCCAATGAACCCTTCCCAGGTCTTCTTGGGAGACAGCTAGGCACAAAAGAGATTGTTAGCCTTATCAGTTGCATCACCAAATCCTTCTTTATTTCTGGACCTTGTTTGTGAAAACTAAGCTCCTGCTTGGTTTTTCAAAGGTATGTGTGACATGCTGAATGTCAGCAGCTGAAGCCACTGAACATGATAAATAAGAGGAGCATAGCTAGGGCCTGTCCCAGGCAAGGAGGGAAAGTGCCACAGTTTGGTTGGTGGGAACGGAGAGCTCCATTCCTGTCTGCTGCTGCCTCTGGAGGCTGCTGCCTGCCTCCCGCCAAGCTGACCCTGACTGAGCAGCTGAGCAACTTCAAGCAGAAGGCTTGGAAACCTGCATGAGCATGCTATGGCTCTGTTGGAGACCTCTGATAGCAAGGGCACATTTAGATAGCAACAGAAGTCTGGTGTTGGACAGCTACAGCTGAGGATGCTCCTCAGGAGGCACTAGCTTCCTACATACAGACTGGCAAACTAATACAGCAAATAACTGCAGGCCGAGAAGGACCAGCATAGCAAGCTATTTCCTTTATCAACTTCTTTACGTTTTCAACTTAGGAGCACTTTAATATCAGAACCAACTAAATACCCAAAAGTTAACATGGCAACATCATGAAAGTAACAATAATGGTGTTCTGTGGGGTCTTATGTATTCTACCAGAATAGGAAGATTACTACTTGAGCCCTTCTCAGTGCTACATCAACGAGACCAAATGAGGAATAGGTATATATGACCTAGTGCTTATTTCAAATTACAGTTTCTGTACAGTAAGCATGCAGTTAAACCTGCATATGAAATCCAAAAAGGGAGAGATTATAAATGATGATGCAATAGGCTTGAACTGTATTATACTGTATCATCAATATTACATTCACAGTAATTTCAGTTTCCAGTTGCAAATTTTCAAAAACAGGATAGTCAATTTGTTTTTCAGCAAAGATGCATGCCATGCAGTACACTGGAAAGTATCTTTTCCATTAACATGTTTCTGAACAAGTATTAAAAATGCGGTAAGTTGTAAAAGCTTGTTAGTGAGGAAGTGCCTAAGTACGTACCTTAATTAATGGAGTTCTGCCAAAGAAGAATCCAAAAATGTAAGCAGTAATATCATTGCAGATAACACTTGAAATTGGAACCAAAAACCTAGAGAAAGACATTAAAAGTTTAATGGAAAAAAAATAAAAGTTTCCCAAAGCTAAACACAGGACAGAAATTGAAACAGCAGCATTTCTTTCTAGGAAATTTTTCTGTAGTATTTAGAAGGAATCATGTTTCATAACATGTTCACCTAGTTCCCCCCCGAGCAGTATATTTAGCTATACTGGTTTTAGTCTTCATCTGATCAAGACCATTACAGATCCATGTTAGTTCAAGTTAAAATATGATTTTGGCGCATGAGCTTAAAATGTGAACAGGCTGGCTTTTTCCTATCAGGCTTGAAGACTGGTACCGCAGTTAAGAAGAAATCAACAGTTATAAACATGTTAATGTTATTGGTAGCATCAAAGCAAGCAAATTCCTTGTAAAGGTTAATGATATCTAAATTAAAAAAAAAAAAAAAGTTTTCCTTTTTTTCCTCTTGTCAGTTTGGAGCAGCCTGTGTTAGCTTTCTAAGTGTCCTTTGCATGCAGACAGCATCTGAATTTGTTACTCCAGCCTGTATATCTTTTTTTTTTTTTTTTTTTTTTTCCTTTTCAAAGCAGGGATGTATTGATAAGCTAGAAGTCAGATTTTGTGATCATCTGCCAAATTGCCTAGCACCACTGGAAATAAGGAATAGTAGGCTATTAGTAGGATATATATAGTAGGCAACAATGTTCAATTTTTGGCACATGAACACAATTGCTATGAAAGGAATTTGTTAATACAAACTTTGTCAAAGGTTTTGGGTTTTCTTTCTAACTATAAGCACATCTTTTCTGCAATGATCTCCCCAGTTGTACATATACCAGGAAAAGGAGAACATGCAGTATTATGTCCTTGGAAGACCACAAATCATCTTCCATGCGCTTCTTCCTCAACTTTCAATTTACCCTGCCCCTAAAGAAGTGAGGGGTGGGAAAACACACCCTCTCTTTGAGGAGCAGTTTTAAGTAAACAATTTAACTGTATAATCACAATTTAATATATTGCTAGAAATGGGGCATTAAGATGACCCAACAATACCCAAGATTTAAACCCTTAAAATATTGTAAGTAACCCGAACATATCATGGCAGGGAAGGCAGCAGGAAAGGCAGCCAGATTGGGCATTTCAAATTACATGGTCCAACCTCAATAGCTCCGATCAACCTGAAGCTCTCAAGTAATTGAAAAAGAATTGCTGGATATTCATCCATTTGACAAAACGCTATGGAAACTATTTCAGCAAGCATGCAAGCAATCCTGTTCCTTGCAAGCAAATGAAGTAGTTGTTCAAAATTATACTTGTGGCTACCAATCTAGTTACAGAGGTTTCTGCTTCCTCTCCTGTTTGCTTTACTTCATCACTCCCAATCCCTCGACTCCCAACTAGACATGAATGCTCCTTTAACTTGTGATGCTTTAACTGTTCCCACAGTTATTCCCTAACCAGATCTATATAAAAGAACCAACGTTCCAATGCAATAATTACAAATCAGTTTATTACTGTCCCCTTACCAGATCATGCCTTCAAAGAGATTTTGGATGACAAGATGAGATTGAGTTACAGTGATCAGCAAAGTGACATGAGTCCATGCGAACTGTTAACAATGCAACAACACAACAGTTAGTGAAAACACCAATCCATACACCTTGATAAATACCGGTGTGTCAGCTAGAGGAGCTACTTAGGAGCTCACAAGAAAGACCAGTTCTAGTGATAATGCAAGAGATGTGTGCATACAGTATATCACAAGTTAGCTAGCTTTCTGAAGCAAGTACTGAAACTTTAACAGGTTTCCCCATCACTTACCTCCACCCAGAATTTTTTAATGTGAGGTTTAACATCTGATTTAATAAGATATACACCTTCAGCATGAAAGCAGCAAAGAAATGTAAGCAATGTGATATTCTGTATATACATATAACACACATGTTAGAACTGTAACAATAAAATGGCAATGAACTACTCATGGAAGAGTCATGTTACACATATGTGGATATCTCTCATAACAGAATACCAGTCCTCTTAGGAAACATGAAAATTCTTAGTATTAGCAGAAACAAAGTGTTAGTTTTTATGTGCATGGCCATTTAAATAGTCATTTGCCTCAGTATTACTGTACGTACTTGGTGTTTATTCTGTAGCGCCAGTGTACAAGAGTGGTTTCCAAACAGCTTACCAGTAAAGATCCAACAACAGATTTTATTTTCAAAAGACTTTTAAATCAAGAACTGGTAGTTTTCCCATGAAACACCAAATTTAAGCACTCTAAATATCTGGGTGATTTAACACTTGGAATGTACTACTACTATAATTCTCTTATCATGTGTTTTCCTATGGCATCCAGCATCTACTTCCAGTTAAGACAACTCAAGAAGGCTGAAAGGGGGGTGCAAGAACTGACTCAAGGTTTCTGAAAATATTATCTGCTGGATAATTAAAGCATCTCTGTAGCAAACTTTTTAGTATTTGTACAGTGATATTCGCACACTACCTAAAACCAGATGGCTACTCTCCTCGTCTGTTCAAACACTGTATTGCCACACAGTGGATACATGGCTTCCCTCTGTTTTACTGCAATTCTTAGGTAGTCACACCTTAATGTTTTCTGGGCAGGCACCAAGTCATATGACTGACACCACATTTTTTCTGCCTTCTTTCCAGAAAGGGGGGGGGGGGGGGGGTGTGTGTGGAATTTACCTTGTGCCAATCTGAAGATGAGGACTCTTTTTGCAGATTAGAAGATAAAGACCACCTCTCCTAGAAAAGCTGCATCTCCCTGTCAGGCAAGTTCTCCCACAAACAGGGTAAATTTTTTGAGTGAAATATTTTTTTTTTACATGCTCATATAGGGCTCAGCTAAGTTCTAGTCTAGAATTAGGGATCCTCAATGGTAAAAGTGCTACCTAAAGCACTGTAGAAACAGAGGGGTTAACTGCATCCCCAGACTTTTAGGAAATCTTGAAGGCTGTGCAATGCCTTGACTGCTCAAGTTCTTTAAGGACAGAAGCTGTACTACATTACTGTTTTACTGTTGCTGCTAATCATTCCTGTATAGAAGTGCAGGGTTCAGGGGGCTGTTGAGGGTTTGTTTTGGTTTGGTTTTCAGTGGGTTTTTTGTTCTTTTTTATTTTTTACCTGTAATGTTACAAAATTAGTTTTTGACCTATGAGATACATATAAGAAAAAGGTTCATACTCTTGATGAACTACTATGCTGTTTATTAGGTGAACAGATAAACCAGTGTTCTCTTATCTTGTAACAGACTAATGATCTACTGAGGCACAGGAGAACAGAAGACCAGAACTGCTGCTAAGTGTCACAGAATAAACCTTCCACATAAGGGTTAAGCTCAAGTTCCCTTCATAGTACTTCAGCAGGGACTCAAGAACCACTTCCCACACTATGCTGAACTATTTGGCTTCAGACCTGGGAGAAAGATACACACCCCTTTCTCCAGGAATCCTTCATATGAGCCTATCACTAAGGGAAATGTATCACGTATATGCACAAGGCCTCACCAGTGACAGCTTGTATTAACATAAAGGCCACATCCCATGATATAATAATAAGCTGCAACGTGATCAGATACCAAACAGCCCAACACTACTTGATTTCATGTCACTGTCAGTTTAAGCACATTTTCCACACCCCTCTTCCAAGCTATTTTATGAACGTAGGGACATGACTGCTTCTAGTGACATTCATAACATGAGTGAACACAGCAAAGTGGGTAATACACACCATGTAAAACTGCAGACGATAATGTTTCTTCACTAAACTCAAAACAAACATGCAGAAGCCTGTAAAACAAAGCAAGTGTAATTTGTACCATCTTATATTTAATTACAATGAACTGTGATATACCAGTAATCCTCTTCTCTTGAAGCAGCTTTTGATCCCTCTGCTGCTAGGAGCATTTTCTTATATTCAGTTAAGTGTACGTACAGAATCATTCTCATTAGAGCACAAGATTTAGTTAATCTCAGTAAAGAGCATTCATTACTTACAAGGTCCCATCACAGACATCAATTTCTAGGGGAGGTGACCATCACCTCCAAAAAACACTCAAAAACCAGGTCAACAAGCTAGTTTTGACTAATTAACAGAAATAACTGAATGGAAAAGACAAGCTTGCCTCTTTCCTCCAGACTGGCATAAGGCTGCATACAACACAAGCATAAAGTGCAGGCATTGGAGAATTCAACTGGCTGAAAGAAAAGTTCTGGGTGGCAAACAGGCACTTCTCCTCCCCTAAGGCAGCCTCCTGCATCAGCAGGGATCAGAGGCCCTCAAAAGACCCTTAACCCCAGGGATAGCCCCACAGTGACCCCACGATGCCAATGCAACAGCTGCCAAGGGGCTCTGCTCTGCTCTGCCTCCTGCTTTTGCCCATGGCTGGCTTGTCTCACCTCTCCCCTCACCACCCTTCAACAGTAATGAGTCATTAGTTAAGTTAGATTCCTCAGGCCAAAGCCAGCTGAAAAAGGTCAAGTCTTGCAAAGCTGGTTTCAAGTTTGCCATTTAAGCACTGAGTAGAATTTTTATCTGGTTAAAGAAAAAAAAATAACAGTACAGAGACTGACAGTTCATCAAGAAGATCAGGTTTCTTAATACATTTTACAAGTATTTGTAGCATAGCAATCTCCTGTCCCTTATGTCAATCTGAGTCTTCAACTGACTTAATTTTAGGCTAAAGTAATATTAATTGCATTGCTGAAAACACTGTGGACTATATTTACATGTTCACAAAGCAATGCCTCACAAGACTGCCAGCTTATATATCTTCTTCCTAGAGAAGAGACTTTTAAAAACTCTTTCTTTGGATAGAGAGGAAAACCTACCCATGAGGCAAGCATCTGAATATCTTGCAAACAAAATAAAGCCTCAGGCATTTTTAATAATCAGTTAAAAACGTATTAGTAAATCATATTGCTTCAGACTTAGCAGAACATTTGCAAAACAAAGCATCAAACCAGTGCAGCAATTACACATACAAGTCATCTCCACAAAATACAGATGCCAAAATATATATATATATATATGTATACACACACACATATATTTAGGTATATGTAGGCAAAATAGAGCTCATGTATTCAGGTACTGATGCACAGTTTTTCAGCAATCAAAATGACTTCAGGCCAACTTCTCTTGACTGCTATTAGCTCAATTTTTCTCAAGATCATCTACTTGTTTAGGCTGTTCTTCTCAATGAACCCAAAATTTATATTTGTGTTTTCACAGGAAAAATAGAACTGCAAACACCTAATTTCCTTGAACACGGTGATGAGTGGTGTTCCTCAGGGGTCGGCGTTGGGACCAGCGCTATTTAACATCTTTGATGGTGACACAAACAGTGGGATCGATGCACCCTCAGCAAGTTCACTGGTGACACCGAGCTGTGTGCTGCGGGGACACGCTGGAGGGCAGGGATGGCATCCAGAGGGACCTGGGCAGGCTGGAGAGGTGGGACCGTGCAAACCTCCTGGAGTTCACCAAGGCCAAGTGCAAGGTCCTGCCCGTGGGTCAGGGCAATCCCAAGCACAAACCCAGGCTGGGCGAGGAGTGGATGGAGAGCAGCCCTGCGGAGAGGGACTTGGGGGCAGCAGTGGATGGAAAACTGCCTGTGAGCCAGCACTGTGAGCTCGCAGCCCAGAATGACAACCGTGCCCTGGGCTGCATCAAGAGCAGGGTGGCAGCAGGTCAAGGGAGGGGATTCTCCCCCTCTGCCCCGCTCTGGGGAGACCCCCCCGCAGTGCTGGGTCCAGCTCTGGGGCCCCCAACAGCAGAAGGACACGGAGCTGCTCGAGTGGGCCCAGAGGAGCCACGAAGATGCTGGGGGGGCTGGAGCAGCTCCCCTGGGAGGGGCCGGGCTGAGAGAGTTGGGGGGGTTCAGCCTGGAGAAGAGAAGGCTCCGGGGAGACCTTCGAGCGGCCTCCCAGGGCTTAAAGGGGGGACAGGAAAGGTGGGGAGGGACTCTTGATCAGGGGGTGTGGGGATAGGATGAGGGGTAATGGTTTTAAACTAGAAGAGGATAGATTTAGATCAGATTTGAGGAAGCAATTCTTCCCTGTGCGGGGGGTGAGGCGCTGGCCCAGGGTGCCCAGAGCAGCTGTGGCTGCCCCCTCCCTGGAAGGGTTCAAGGCCAGGTTGGACGGGGCTGGGAGCACCCTGGGCTGGGGGAAGGGGGCCCTGCCCATTAAACGATATTTAAGGTCCCTTCCAACCCAAACCATTCTGTGACGGATCAAGAGGAAAAATAAACTGAAAGTGCATAAAGCTGGTGAGCAATTATTTTGTTGTTGTTTGGGTTTGGTTGTTTTTTTTTTTTTTTTAAATAAATAAGCACACAAACAAATGCAGCACAAAGTTCTTTCATTTTTGCAATTTTCTACACTTACCTGTTAAATAGAGTGCAAAAGATATAAACCTGTGGTAACGAATTAGGAACTGAAGCTGTTCTCTTCTCTGAACAAATGTAGCGAAGTAATCAGCTACAGTCTCTCCATAAAAGAAGTAGTTCACACAGAGTAAAAAGTACCTACAACATAATACAACTAGCAGTTATTTTAACAAAATAATATATATTAAATGTCATTCTTAAAAACAGAACAAACAAAAACCACACTAAACACCATCACACAAAAGAAAAATCAGAAGGGTAGAAAAAACATTATAAAAATGGAATTAAAGTACAAATCCAGTCTTATACTTCTGGGTTGGTGTCTCTTCTGACAATACAATTTTTGTAATTTACTTCTTCTAAAGCAAGTAGAAAAACAAACACATTTTGCAGGATATAACTGGAAAATTAATTTCATCCTTAACTACAGTGTTGAATACTCCACACCCATGCAACTCCTTTTCAGTTATTCTAAAAGTACAGAATAAGTATCTGCTATCAATACTGTCACAAGCAATTATGCATATTCCTTCCCTGTATCCCAGTAAGTATAGTTTGTGATTTCTGCCTTACAAACAGGAAAAAAGGTACTTGCATAATGAATCCTCTGAGGTTATAGGAGACTGAATCTGACATGGGGCTTGAGGATCTGAACGTAACTATACCTTTGCCATCTGGTCTGAAGATTCTCATCTGAAAGAGTTACTGCTGCATCTCATGCTCCATTCCACCATACACTTTGCCTTTTAGCTTTCTTGACTAAGCAATAACTGTACAGGGTTAAATCCATCAACTAACTATTAAATGCAGCTATTACTACAACTTTTTGAAAACAATTTTGTGGGAGTATATGCACACCTAAAGTTCAGCTGAACTGAAATGTCACTTTCAGCCACCTCTTTTTGAAGGATCTGCAAAGAAATTCCTTTCAGGCAAAACAGTCAGTACACAAGTAATTCTGTCACAGGTTTTCATACAAGTTCAGTTACTCAGCTTTCTGGAGTTAAGTCACAATGGGATCCTCAAATGCCAAGGCATCAATAAAATCAAATAACAAATCCAAACCCACTAAGAGATGGACCTCTTTAGGCAACATACTCTTTGGCTTATTACCAAAATCAGCCACAGAAGATAAAAAGTTGTGATTCAAGACTATCTTTAGATAGTCTCAGAGCAATCAGTACTCATTCTCCTCCCCCCAATAGACATTAATGCTCACTTCGTGAGGTGTCACATCTCTAAATAAGCCAAATAGTTGACATTCAGACTACTAACAGGTTCTCTCATCTCACTAAAGTGTCTTAACATTTAGTCTCAGTGTCAAGATGGACTGAAAGAAGCTTTGATGTTAACTAGTATGGCAATGCAGAAAAGTTGATTTTGAGCTCCACATACGAAAGTAAAGGTGGTCAGCTGCCAAAGTAGACTAAGTGGTAGAGTGCACACCTCCTCTAAAAGTTTTGGCAAGACTGCAGAATCATTCATGCATAAGACTACTCTAACTGTAGATCTAGGACCCACGGAATAAAGTAGACAATAGATCAGTCCCCTGGATAATCCAGGAGTAACCAGAGGGGAACTGATTAGCATTTACAGAATAGCCCACTGCAGGAATCCACCATGTTATATAGTAAAGTTACTTCTAGAAGTGAAGAAGCAATCTGACAAGAGACAGGGAATAACCTAGATATTTCAATTCCTTAAAAAACCAAACCCATCACAAAACCCAAACAACACAACATAGGTCATGTCTGAAGAATTATGTCCTTAAGCACCTTAGAGATTACTTGTGCCCAACAACTTCCCATAACACTGACTCTAACAAAAAGCCTTTATTTTTCCTCCCAGAACTCGGAAGAGTTGATTTCCCCAGTTCCATACAGCCCTATACAAGCTGGACATTGTCACAAGTATCTGGGATTTGCCAGCAAAATTAATCTCATCTTTTGGCTTCCAGGAGATTCCCCAACACTGTATTTATGCAGTCCTGTGATTAAGTGCACAATTGGAAAGGATTTAAAACTTGTATGTTATTATATTAATTCTCTGTGTGTGTGAAGAGGAGCCTTTACGGTGCCTGTTCCATTTATTTCTTGTGCAAGGTTAACATCCAAAAAAAAAAATCAAAGCAGTTCAGGTAACACATATCAGGTGATTATTTGGCTATGCACATTTTTAGATGCTTACACATGCTCAATTCTGAATTAAAGCGTATATGCATGCATACATATATGTGCGCATACGTATGTATGTATAACAAGGAAAAAAAATGAAGTAGTAAAAGGCCAACTGACTTGTCTTCCACCTGTGAACTTGGACAACTACAGAATCCTGTATTAAGACACAGATGTTAAGTTTTATGTCCACACATAACCTACAAAGCTACCGTTCCACCATGACAGGATATGAAGAACATGAAGATTCAAGTTTCACATCCCTATCTATTGACGTTTTTGCTTGCTACTCACCAGCTGAGGGATCTAAACCATGGTAAATCATATGAGTGGTAGACTCTGTAACCTATAGTAATGATTTCATGGTAACACTTCACTTGGATGCTTAAGACCTGAAGTAAGAGAAATAAAAAACTATGTAAATATGCTGCAGTTGTTTCTTAAATGCAGTAAGGAGTATTACAGCTTGCATTATGTGGAGAAATTATTCTGAACTCAAATTCCACACAGAAAACAGACAACTTCAAAGCAAGTCCAAGGAAAACTAAGGCTCCATTTAAACCCTCCCCCAAAACTCAAAACCATTAGGCATGCTGAGAAAAAACACATTGGGCTAGCTTCAAGAATATGCTTGTGAAAGAAGGGAAAGCTCCCATCTTTTCTTCATTAGAAGTTTGGTAGCAGGCTCTTCTATTTCTTTTGGCTAAGTTTTATATTTAAATTTAGTTTAAGAAAGATTTTCTAGGCCCAATGGAAAAAACTAGCTGTGCAACACAACTTGGGACACCCAGGTCTTCCACTTGCAAACATCTCATTAAAGGCAATTAACATTAATGATTAGAAGCAAATCTCATCTAACCCATGGCTGAATGTCACCCTCCACAGCCTTCATTTTGTTTTGCTGATCTCACTACTTCAGTGCTTGCCCATGCAAGTCCGGTAGTACATTCTGTCTGTCTTTGGGCTCCAAAGGACTCTTGGCCAGCTTTGTCTAATCCAGAGTCACCAAGCAGATTTCCCTGCCCAGATATCAAGTACTGCCAAACATAGGTCACCAGTAATCCCATGCAGGGTCAGGAATAAGAACCTGCCCATGCCAACTGCGCATGTCAGCATGCTAGGCTTTGCAGTATTCTCTTACCACCTGCATTCATGAATAAACTTCATGTTGCTCAATGTGTGAACACAGTTTAAAACAGTCTTACACCACCTCAGTGAATCAATTTTGAAGCTCCCCTATCTGGTGCTCTTTATTGTGCTTCGCCTACATTATAAAACTTAAATGCTACGTGCAAGAACAACGCTACAGGATTGCAGCTTACAGTGGAAAAGGAGGCTGGGGTCCAAAGGCATGGAAGCTTTTGCCTGTTACCTTAGTAGGAGGCAAATATAAAACTTGCCTCCCAAATTTTTAGAGCAGTCTCAGGGGTTGTCCTCCAAACTTCACTGGAACACCCTTCCTACAATTCTCTGGGCCTTTTCAGTCTCAGTATTAAGATTTGGTTGTAGCACGACAACTCCTGTTTAAATGTAAGCTATTTGATTCCAGTGAAATTAAATAATTAATGAACAAAACTGTTTTTTCCCCTCCTTTCTTCTTTTTATGTAGTCTCAAGTGTCAACTTTATGACCAGTTTACTATACTAGAAGACAGAGTTTTTGCTTTATGGTACAACAGAGGAAGAACTCCATACTAACTTTAATTACTTTTTAGTTCATCTCTTGATAGCTTTGACCATGATTCCAAACTCAGAGTATACCATGAATATACCTATTCACAATGAAAACTGACTAGCTCCTTGTTGTTTATTATCGTCATTCTTAAGTGTAACAGACTACTAAAGGAAGGATTGTAAAAAAAAAAAAATCACCCTACAACACCTATACTTTAAAGGGGCTTTTTTTGTTGTTTCTTCACATACAAAGAACAACATCCTCCATTAATGAAACAATTAATTACTAGTTTGTTTTGTCATTCAGCTGAAAATAGGAAATATAAACCAGACTAATTCAGATGTAGAGACTGTCATGCAGACCATAATACTGGTGAAACAGCATGCCAGTCTCTCAAGGCAATACAGGAAAAACAAGGGAGCATATGACCTTTGGAAGAAGGAGCAGGAAACTCAAGAATACTACAAGAATGACATGAGGTTATGTAGGGAAAAAATTTGAAGGGCCAAAGCCCAGCTAGAACTTAATCTGGCTACTGCTGTAAAAGACAATTTTTGTAAAAAATACATTTTTTATTAGCAACACAAGTCAGGCAAAGGAGAATCTCCTTCCTTTCTTGCATGCAGGGGGAAACATAGCAACAAAGGATGAGGAAAAGGCTGAGGTACTTAAGGCTTCCTTTACCTCAGTCTTTAATAGCAAGACCAGTTGTTCTCAGGGTACCCAGCCCCCTGAGCTGGAAGACAGGGCTGGGGGAAGAGAATGAAGCCCCCACAATCCAAGGGTAAATGGTTAGCAACTTGCTACACCACTTAAGACACTCACAAGCCTATGAGGTGGGATGGGATCTGCCCAAAGGTACTAAGGGAGGTGGTAGAATTGTTCACCAAGCCACTTTCTATCATTTATCAGCAGCCCTGGCTAGCTGGGGAGGTTCCAGTTGACTGGAGGCTGGCAAATGTGATGCCCATCTACACAAAAGGAGGACCTGGGGAACTCCAGGTCTGTCAGTCTGACCTCAGTGCTGGGGAAGGTTATGGAGCAGATCATCTTGAGTGCCATCACACAGCTCGTACAGGACAACCAGCTGATCAGGCCCAGACAGCATAGGTTTATGAAAGGCAGGTCCTGCTTGACTAACCTGGTCTGCTTCTGTGACAACATGACCCAATTAGTGGATAAGCGAAAGATTGTGGATGTTGTTTAACTGGACTTTAGTAAAGCCTTTGAAACCATTTCCCACAGCATTCTCCTGGAGAAACTGGTTGCTTGTGGCCTGGACGGGTATATTCTTTACTAGATGAAAAACTGTCTGGATGGCCGGGCCCAAAGAGTGATGGTGAACGGAGTTAAACTCAGTTGGTGGCTGGTCACAAGTGGTGTTCCCCAGGGGTCAGTACCGGGGCCAGGTCTGTTTAATATCTTTATCAGTGATCTGGGTGAGGGGATCAAGTGCACCCTCAGTGAATTTGCAGACAACGCCATGTTGGGCGGGAGTGTTAACCTCCTTGAGGGTGGGAAGGCTCTGCAGGGGGATGGGGACAGGCGGGGTCGATGGGCTGAGGCCAGTTGTATGAGGCTCCACAAGGCTCAGTGCCGGGCCTGCGCCTGGGTCACCACAGCCCCCGGCAACGCTGCCGGCTCAGGGAGAAGTGGCTGGAAAGCTGCCCGGTGGAAAAGGACCTGGGGGGGGGTTGGTCGACACCCGGCTGAATACGAGCCAACAGTGTGCCCAGGTGGCCAAGGCGGCCAACGGCATCCTGGCTTGTGTCAGCAATAGTGTGGCCAGCAGGACTAGGGCAGCGATCGTCCCCCTGTACTCGGCACTGGTGAGGCCGCACCTCGAACGTGTAGATTTGGCACTTGGGGACATGGATTAGTGGTGGACTTAGCAGAGTTAGGTTAACCATTGGACTCAATGATCTTAAAGGTCTTTTACAACCTAAATGATTCTATGAATACAATCCAAAATGTGTTTCACAGGAAGCCATGAAAAAAGTAAAAGCACATTTTGGCAGTTAAAGAAACTTAGAGTCAAAAATCAAAGCAGTTACCCGGAAGTACAAATTTCAGTGTTTTTAGAAGCCGCATCCCTGCCTGTTGCCACAACTGGGAAAGACAGTTAAACCATTATTCAATAAAGTATATGAATATAAGTAGTACTAGTAGTAGCATTTCACTTCAGGAACTAAAAATGCATTTTACCTCTGTATCTTGCAAAGGGATTTAGCTCCATTCTACACATAAACACAAGGCCACAAGGCAGCCCTGTAGAGAAGTAGGGAATTAGTAAAGCATGCCTGAGGAAAGCCTTTCAGTGCCCATCACAGACAGCAGACCAGAGCTGCCTGCTTTCTTCAGTCTCAAAAATGAAACTCCTGTGTCTTTTTTTGGCTTTTAGGGTTGGTTTTGGTTTTGGGGTAGAGTATGGGATTGTTGGTTGGTTGGTCTGTTTTTTTAAAAGAATGTAACAGTAGTTGATGGAAACTGGACAAGGAAATGGATGACAGTAACTTAGTAAACTTCAAGGCAACAATCATTTAACTTCTTAGAGATACTTTAACTCTTACTTAAAAAAAAAATTAAATATAATATATAAGAAGTCCTTAATCCCTAAAACCCAGTTGTAAAACTGTCCAGCGTTTTTCGAAAGTATTTACATTTACACAAATAAGAGATAAATTGCTCTGAATTGTCTGTGTAGTTTGCTTCCAGCTGTCTTAGGCAAGATGAATGAAAAGATCAAGTAACTCTTGCATGACAGAATGTATTTAAACAAACTTACCAGAAGCATCAGCATAAATGATCCCAGGTATATGATCAGAAAAAACCCAGAAATCATAGCTAGAGTGAGAATTCCACGAATCCACCAATTTTTCCATCTATTAAAAAAAAAAAAAAAAAAGAGAGAGAGAGAGAGAGAGAGAATAAAAAGCAAGCAGTTATAAATGAAAACAAGTGCTACTTCCTTTACTAACTAGAGATGAATGTGTATTAGAAACACTGGGAGTTACAGAAAATTTTGTGCTTATAAAACACAGAGCAAGAAACACAGAATCAACCAACTATTCAACTAAACAGGATACACAATAAAAAGCATTACACAATCAGTAGGACTGATGGGGGCCCAGCCATGTAAAGGGTTACATATGAAAAACAGGCTACCAGGAAAAAAAGCATACAATTCTTTGAGGAGTAACAGAGAAGAAAACCAGGCAATCGACAACTTTCTGTAGGTAGCTATTTTATCAGGTAGAGGGTATCTACTGAAGGCAGTCCTGTGCTCCTGTGAACACTAGAACCAGGACAGGAAAACATGTGACAATGAAGGGTGATGGGACAAACTAGCTGTACTCTTTTGCCCTTGTAGACCTTTGTAGTTGCTTGTGGCTACCCAAGGAAAGCCAGATAGGAATTCCTGTTACCATAGAACAATTTAGGTTGGAAAAGACCTTTAAGATCACTGAGTTCAACTGTTAATCTAACACTGCCAAATTCACCACTAAACCACGTCCCCAGGTGCCACATCTACAGGCCTTTTAAATGCCTCCAAGGATGGTGACTCAACCATTTCCCTGACCAGCCTGTCCCAAAGCTTGACAACTCTTTCAGTGAAGAAATTTTTCCTTATATCCAATTTAAACCTCCCCTTGTGCAACTTGAGGCCATTTCTTCTTGTTCTATCACTTGTTACTTGGGAGAAGAGACCAACGCCCACCTCTCTACAACCTTATTTCAGGTAGTTGTAGGGAACAATAAGGTCTCCCCTTTTCTCCAGACTAAACAACCCCAGTTCTCTCAGCAGCTTTGTTGCCCTTCTCTGGATTCACTCCAGCACCTCAGTGTCTTTCTTGTAACGAGGAGCCCAAAACTGAACACAGCATTTGAGGTGTGGAATGCCTTCTTTGAAAAAAATAAGAGTTTGTTTTACAAACACCCAAACAACTGGGAAGTCTTTGCTGGTTTGTTTTTTGGGGGGGATGGGGGAGAGTGTGTGCTTGGTTTTTTGTGGGTTTTGGTTTTGTTTGTTTTTAATTTCTAGAGTAACCACAATGTTATTTCCCACAACCTCTACACCCCCAACTCCCTGCCCCAAAGATCACTATCGGGAAAAAATCAAGAGCCCAGTTCATTTAAAAAAAAGTTAAAAAAACTCATCACATGCTTCACTCTGCCATGAAAATTTTTCTAGTTATCAATAGCCTGTATTTTACTGTTCATATTATTTTTCAGTAAGTTTTTCTCCTCTCCAAGAATTTTGCTTCTAAAAGTACACTGACCCAACTAATCACAAGTTACTGCTAGACAGAAAAAAACCCTAATATAGCTTAAATAAAGTATTTCTAATGTTTTGTTTTGTATCACTTGTGTTTCATTGCTGCATTGGGAGATACACCTGACACTGTCAGCTTTTCATCATACTCCAGTTTTAATGTAAACTTCAATTATATTCATTTGATTTTCAAGGATGTTATTCATTGGCAGGTTAATGGCAACTAAAGCCATGAATTGGATTTACTTTAAGCATCAGGACAAAGGCATGACAGGCTTTATCGCAAGAGATGCTTTATGTTCCTCTGTGACGTGGGCTATAGAGTAGCAGCTTGCTCTTAGTGACATACCTACAGTAAGAAAAACTTCTTTAGAAGAATTCTATTTCCCCTAAGAATAATGTTAAAATACTACCTAGTATCTTGAGAGTGTTGACAAGCGCAGCACTGGAAAGACAGCTTCAGTAAGAAAGACAACAAGCTCCATGATCTAGGAAGCCACTTGACAAGTTTACTGTTTCCTAAATCTCCACTGGCAAGTTATGGATACTATGTCCTCTAAATGCCATATACAAAGAGAAACACTTTTCTGGGAGTTGAAGTGCCACTCACTAATTTTGCACATTATGACAACAGTTCTGGTGGGACTGCCAGTTACTAAACTTACAGACAATTTTGATTCTAGCATTCATAAAGCACCAAGAATTTAATTATGCACTCAAAGCACCTTTGTGCAAACACTCCAATAGATAATTTCAAGCATGTGAAACAGGAAAGGTTTCACCTGCACCTCTCAGCTGCAGGCTTTGAGGTATCGCCATGGAAGTGTCCTTTGGAACAAGTCTGATTTGGAGATCTAAGACTTCCACAATATTTAACATAGTAAGAGAACTCTGAAAGTGATAGGAACTAGACACTCCTTGCAGTGTGATGGCAGCAGAGAACATCACATCCTGCTCACAGCTGGTGCAGTTTAGAAACATGCTTTTTGAAACCTGGGAACAATACATTTGTTTGTAGCTCCCAGACATCACAACAAAACCAGACAACAGATTAGAAAAGAAGCAAGTCAAAAACCTGTAGTTTCACATTGCTATTGGAGATACCTACTGGAGATCAGGTTTCTTACAAGGACTTGTAAGTTTTTAATTATAGCCTGGATTGGACGTCCTTCTGACTCCTGCAAGTCCTAAATTGTGTCTAAAATATACACTGTATATTCTTTCGTTTGTTATGTTGAGCATAAGGTATATGATATACACATTCATTTTACTAGGTAGTTTTTTGGTATGCGACCTATCACACACCTAAATGCTCTTTCATTGAATTAGTGAAAAAAATGTAATCCGAATTGCTACTTCCAAAAGGGTTTGACTGATCAAGTGTTGTAAAGGGACTGTATAAAAAAAAATTATACCAGGAACTTTATTTGTTAGCCTCCATGAATATCTATACACATACACACCCCCGGACATGTAACATGTCCTGTGGAAAGGACTTCAGAAAGAGGGCGTACGATCACACATTTGCTAGTCTTTAACCTCCTGTGAAGAGAGGAGGCAGAAACCTAATTTTGAAGAGACAGCAGGAAAAGCTTAAATATTGCTTTAAAAGGTATGAAAATAAAAACTATGTTGTATTTAACTGTAAAAAAAATTATTTAGAAGTGGAAATGCTGTCACAAAAAGCTAGCAAAGCTCACTCAGAGAATTTACACTTCTTCCCTTTTCATTTCTACATGCATACCACCCCGCCTTAACCTTGGATGTAGGAAATCAGTTTATTAGAACCCCAAGAAATACTTATTCTGGATATCAAACCCAGTGACTATTCCTTAGCCCATTTTGCTGCAATACTTAGGCTGAGCAATGACAAATGTTTACATACACTGTAGCTAAACAATTAAGTCGTTTACTTAGAAATGCATGCAATGAGCAATCTTCAGGTATATGCAAAAAATATCACACTGAAAGGCCTATCAAAGCATAAATAAATCAGTGATTTCCAGTAAAAAATTATCATTGAATTTTTATGTGTTTCATATGAAATTTAAAACTGCAGTACGAACTGTAAGAATTAAAACTGCAACATAATCGTTAAGAATTTTAGCCTGCAGCTATTAAATTTGAGAGCTGTTTGTTCTACTATACCTGACAGACAAGCCTGACAAAGCCTTTTTGAGGATTTCTGGAGTGCTGTCGGTTGGTGGAGGGACATCAGGAACATCTGAATCACATCTAAGATCCAACTCACCAAATCTTTCTTCCAAATCCACTTCCTACAAGAACAACAAACAAACAAAAAAATAAAACCAACACAACACACAAGGTTATTAGTTATTTCAGAAAACAGTATTCACAGTCATAAACAATACTTTAGGAACGGATATCTACAGTATCTTCTAAAAAAGATAACAATGGTGTACTAGTGAAACTGTAAATGTTGTAGGAGACAAATATATCCCAATAAATGTTTATAAGAAGGCCAGTACTCAAATGTTGTGACATTACCTGCTGTGCTCAAGAAACTTCACATTCTAGGCATTTTTTCAACCCATATACATAAGTATGAGGATATGTTTCCAGAAATACTATGGCTGACATAGAACACAAGTTTAACAGAAATCCCCAACCCTCTGAAACATTCCCTCACCTACATCTCAAACTAACCTTTTATGGAATAGGAATAAGGGTCTTCTGGTGGTTTAATGTAACATTAAGAAAAAAAAGGAAATGGAATGCATGAAAAAAGTCCCTTTGTACAATGAAAAGAGGTTGCTGTCAGTCTCATACATACATACGTCAGGACTTGAACCCTCTGTCTTGAAAAGAATGATCCAAAAATGACCTGTGAAGTGACCAAGTGTCCTATGGACACAATATTACTCAGAATAATTTCTTGTATGACTCCAACACTGCAGTTTCTTCAGTATTCACTAACAACCACTCAGGAAGACATCCTCTAGACAGATTGTGTGTCTAGCCCAAATGCAAAATAGGCATTACAGGTTTTGGTGACAATTGTCACCAATGGTCAGAGTAGACTGTCAAGACTATTCCTCCCCTCAGTTAAAGCCAACACTAAGGGTGCTGATGATTTACTTCACTCGTTCTAATGTTACAAACAGCACAGCTCCAGGGAGTCAGAAGGCTGCACTCAGCCCTGGCGCAGCAGCAAGGCAGAGAGCTGTCTCTATCTCAGTGTCTGGCTCTCCTGAGACCTGAACTTCATCCCGACCTCCCTGACTCACCTCACCTACTCACAGTCCCAAACAGCTTCCAGCCTGCCCTGCCACCTCAGGTTCATTGGCTCTTAACAGCTCTGGAGACTGTGATGTAACTGTGTTTGAAAACTTTTTTCACCACCACTATACTGCTATTCCTCAGTCTCCCTCTCTTTCTAACTTCCTCATTGCAGATCTTATTTCTTTCTCCTTAATGTACTTCCATGAATGTGACTGCTTTTCTTTCCCACTTTTCCTTATTAATTTTATTTTCTTCCCTTGTTCCGAGTATTTCTGGCATTTTGGAAGACAGCAGAGGTATATCCTTCTTCTCTCCCCCTCCATAAGACACCCTAGAATCAAGTTGACCTACAATGCCAGCTGCTAAACAGAGTAACCACGCGATGGCTTTCCCCTTTTCCAGGAAGTTACACTTCAGTGTAATGACTGCCTCAGTGTCTGACCTCAGTAAACAGCATGGGTGGAAGAGATAAGGCTTTTCAGACCCCCTTGTCCAAAGCCAAGGCCTGAGCCTACACCCCAAATCTGCCCCGGGGCGGCCAGGGTGGGGGTTGTGGCGCTGACCATGGTGCTGCAGGCGGGATCTCACCGCCGACCCCCCCCAGCCCCACTCACCTCCCATCGCATGCTCTCCCAGGACGCCGGCCCGAGGGAAAACACCACCCTTCTCATTTGAAAAATGGTTTTATCTTTTTTGAACCCCTGAGCGTGAGCTGGCATTACACATATGTGCAAGGGAAAGAGGTAATAACTGGAAGAGTAATTGCCTTTTTTAACGTGTTAGGCCTGTTTTTCTCATTCACTTTTTGTACCACACTCATGCCCAAGATGAAGCTCTTGAATGGATTTTACATCATTTACTTATTTGAAAAAGGTGATCAATGTTTTCCCTATTCCTTGAAGCCCCACAGTTAAATAATTGTTAGACAGACATTCTCTATAATTAATACAAGTAAAAAGAGCAAATATGCTAACTGTGGTCCAGACTTCAGAAAGTCTGTAGAACACCTGAAAAAGCACAGAAATAAAATAAAATAAAATAAAATAAAATAAAATAAAATAAAATAAAATAAAATAAAATAAATAAAATAAAATAAAATAAATAAATAAATAAATAAATAAATAAAATAAATAAAATAAATAAAATAAAATACTGTGTTTGCAACCTTGTTATTCAACAGTGTTTCTCAGTGTCGTACCATAACTTAGGAAATCAACTATAGATGTGATGCGGGGTAGGAGGTGTGAGGAAGGGAAAATCAGAGGTCTTTCCCAAAGCTGTGTTCCAACTACTGTGACCTGCACAGGAATGCAGCAAGCTATCTGTACAGTTCAAGAGACGCTACTCACTGTACAAATGATGGGCAGTAATCCTGGCCCTAAAACCATGACTTAGCGTCTTTAATATTAATCCCTGCTTGCACATGGCAGAGATGTTCTCTGTTTTAAGCACTCAGAACTAAGAATACCCCCAAAATTTTGTTCCATTTTTAGGCTTTTGGTGTTGCAGAAAATGTTTCCATACTCAGCTGGAGTTTAAACATTAAAAAAAATATAAAAAGTTAAAAATTCATACTTAGTTTTATTCCTCTGGTATTTAGCACACAGCTGTCACTTATGCAATCATAAACCCACTAGAAGCAATGTTTTAGATTTCCTGTTTCCAACATCTGAATTCCCAGTTGTGTGGCATTTTTCAGAGTATCTGAACACCTTGAAGGGGTCTGTGTTTATCCAATGTGGTTTTCAGTAGCTTGTACTTCATATTGCTGCAACTGGGAGCTTGGCTGGTGCAGCCAGGTGCAAGTTGCATGGAACCTGGCGCATTTGATAATTTTTTTAGCTTTACATTGCTACAATAACCAGTGGAATGTAAACCTCCAACTATCTTCAACTTCCCTTTGAAACATAACTTAAAAATGACCCTGAATACTTTATTTTCCAGTTAATTGCTAGAATGGCCACAACCATTTCCTGAATAAGGCATTTAATTTGTGAAGTCAGAAGCCAAAGAGGAAGTTGTTCAATAAAAGCTACTTAATTGTCTGCTGCATCATGAAGTGTATGACCCCCATCACTGGGGGACAAGTCTCTCTTGCTAATAGTTTTCTTAATTATTTTACGTTATGGATTATAAACATTTCAATTTATAGGCATGAATAACAACAATCATTATGGAAGGAAACACTAAGTTATCCATTATCAAAGCCCTTCCCCCCCCCCCCCCAAAAAAAAAAAAAAAAATAAAAATCAAGATTCTTCCCACTTCAGCTTGACCTTGTAGAAGCAGTTTTGGAGTTCAGTATAAAACCAAGCAGCCCTTGCTTCTCCTGATCTTCAGGTTTGGGATTTGGCCAAGCTGAACACACAGTAACAACAAGAAAGGGTATTAATTGAAAACAATACAGGTTTCAGAGCAGGTATTTACAAGATTTTCAAAGGTTAATTGAAAACAGCAGAACTTGTCCTGTCCTAAGTACACCTTTCAACTCCAACTCTAAACTAAATGTTTGATCTGAGGTGTTTCCATTTTTTTTAGAGTTCTCAAACTGCAGGTGAAAGACTTTTACATGCAGAACACATGCCACTCCCATCTCCTTGATTCACGGTCCAAGTGGCTGTAAGAGATAGATGTTGCAATGAGGTTGCTGCCTTGCTTCTCCTCATTTGAAGGCACATTCCTTAAAGAGAACCTATCTGATCAGCTCATAGAATACAAGTTCAACAAGGCTGAGATGATGCAGGCCTAACAAATACAGGGAAGAAGGCAAACATGACAGTTATCCACAAACTACAAACAGCTCAGCGCATAATAAACACACCTATCTGACACACTGTGATGCTCATCAGTTTTCATCATTTCCAAAGTACTCCAAGGAAAAGGCTTATTTAGTTGTAGAGCTTTGGTTTGTTTTAATTTTGGTGTTCTTAAAGACAAGACTTTCATCCTCAAGCTAAATCTTCAGTACAAGACTACAAATACTTAGAGAAACAAATATAAAGGAGGAACTCAGTCAGGGGCCTGAGCATCCCTAACAGAAGTTCAAAACACGTGACATCTTGTCACAAATTAAGCTTCCATACAGATTTCTGTTTGCTGGCTACTTTGCAACAGCTAGCAGAATACAACCCTGTGTCACGTAGAAAAAAACAGACATGTCAACCTTTCATTATCTAAAAGGACATACACATCTGAATTGCTGTTTTGTACCATATGCCGTCTACTACAATTAACACATGCCGAGTGAACCACGCACAAGAATGATTCTAGTTACAAAGGCACTTGCAATGTTTTGCTTGTACTACATTTTTTCCATGACACAATAAGAAACACCCAAGTAGACAGCAAATATGTTTTTTTTGGAGAATGCAGCATCTACATGAACAGCAACTGGGAAAATGAAGATGTTTTCCAACAGCTTGTGTGAAAAAAGTTAGCCAGCAAAAGAATTAAATTATTGTTATTGAGCTGTATAAGTGTTACTTAAAGTAAGTTTTCTCCTCCAGCTTTGACCTTCCTGTCTCTCACAAGTTTTACAATTAAGTCAATAGTACAGTAGCATATTTAATTAGATGTACCTTGATACCTTCCTCTGAAGTCAAGATATCACAGTGTCGGAAGATCCTGAATAATGAAACCTTTTTTTTTTTTCCGAACTGTTAAAGTCTGGTATATGCAGAAACACAGGTGAGAGAACTGCACACACTGAATTGAGGACTGAAACGTACAGATCCTTTACCATTTGCATTAGTACTAATTCACCACCACTTCCAAGAAAACATAGGCTTAGAAGTAGTCAGCCCTTATTATTATTACCACGCTTGTAGTGGACAGCACAGAGGTCAGACTTCTCTGTGAAAACCAAACAGATCCATTTCTTGGGTGTTTCAAAAGAAGTCAGTCAAATGAAGTAACTATGTGATCCATGACAGACTCTACTGTTCCACTATAACAGGAATTTCATTTATCTCCAAGTGGGTTTGGGAGGTTTTGGGCATCAAACACCCAAGTCCCAAACCTGGCCTCACACATCTAAGCAATTTATCTAACAACTGATTCCCTGAAAGGGCTGTCCCATGGAACAAACTGCTTGTTCAATACCAAAGGAGAAACAGCGGTCCGTGATTCTGGGCTTGTTTTAGTTACAAATAATTAACAATGACCCTAGGCAAACCGGCACTTGTTCCAACGGCCGGAAGCGCAACATGATTCCACTACCCTCTCCCCATCCTACTCTGACAACTCTGCACAGTACAAAGAGGAATGACTGTGTGATTACTTCCAGGATACACTTTTTTTTTTTTTTTTTAAGCATTTGAAAGCAGTGTTACTTGTTTTTTAGTAAAGAATGCAAACAACTGAAATTTTACAAGAATCATGAACACACAGATCAATCTGTAAAACTTCAACTAACTTAAACGCATTAAGTATTTGAATGCCAAATCCTTCCTTTTGCTCCCAAGTGCCGCAGAGTTTTATGAAGTCACTTTGACAAGACATTCTTAGGAAAAGAATGTCCCGAACAAGCAGCAGCAAATAAGAAAGGGACAACTGAAAGATCACTCCTGCATGCCACAGGACAATGCAAAGGAACAACAAACTCATGAAATTCCAAAACCGTACAGGGCAAAGGTGTGTTCATGGGAATTTTGCAAAAAGTCATCGGCTCAACAAGCTAGTGAGCAAGTGAAGACACCAAGACTTGCAAATCTTGACAACTTCAGGAAGAAGCTTCACAAAGGGCATACCATATTCCCACAAAACCAAGGAAGTTAACTTTGATTTGAACTCATATAGATGTAGAAATGGCTACCAGTTATTTGCATGGTTTTTTACCCGTAACTGGAAACAAGGAAAAAAAAGAAAACAACCAAACAAAAAACAAAACAGCTTCACTTACATTCCATAGGAAATTAGCATCTATGGACATAGTAAGCGTAACACGGAAAATATCAGATTACATACTGAAAACAGGACTGAGTGTATAAAAGATAAAACTCTCTAGACACATTTAGTGTTGGTGGAGTTCTTCAGCAAACAGAGCACTTCTCTACTTTGGCAAACAAGGTGCTTTAAAGCATGTCACCTTTAGATATCTGGAAGTCTGAATTAATTGGGTCAGCCAGAGCAAAAGCAGCACAAAGCAGTTACCATATGAAAACAGAACACCAAGTTTTTTTCCTTCATTACAAGTGAGGAAGAGGATGATGTTTCTGAGCTGTGTCCTAGGAAGCAATGGAAACCCACTGCATCATGGTCATCCTGAGTATTTAGGAACAGAAGAACAAGTTTTGGGTCCAAATACACAATTACCATGTCAAATAGGTCATCTCAAAATAGCCAAAGGACAATGAGCTATCCACTTGTAAAGGTCAGGCAAGAGGTAGGGCAGAGAGATAACCATCTAAGAAGGTGTATAATGTGGCATCTGTGAATCCAGATGACCAGATACTTCCCATCAAATCACCTGCAGCAAACATTACTGCATCCTCATATGTAAAACAGAGACCCTAACTGTGACCCACTGATAGAAAACTCAGTACAAAATGCCTTTTTTATCTTTACTGTTACCAACAGCACTAAAGACAGTTTAATATGTAAGATCAATCCTTAATGTCACTTGTGAGCCATGACAAGTGCTGTGCACATCACAGATAGGTTGAACAAGGAGGGTCCCCCAAATAACCCATCAAAAAGTCTTCTATGGGGTGGAAAAGGCTTTCCATATTTAACAGTTCAGGCACTTATCACAAACGTATGCATGTTTAGATGCATCTCCTGTAACCAACATCCTAGCTGCATACCTTCTGTTCAACAACACCTGAAACTGGGTGAAACACTGGACTGTTGAGCAGCTAAAGTAAAAACGCAGTAGGCCTGCAGGCAAGAACAGCGTTTCCCCCCCTGGAAATCACGCAGATAAATCAAGAATAATATTAGCATGTTTTAGGCGCACCTTTTTGAGGTCCAGAGTACAGGCTTTGAATGGGAAGAATTATTTGAAGGCAGCTCACTGCACAACTCAGAAATGAACTTAGGCTACAAAATAAAGCAAACCTGAACAACTCCACGGAAAACCAGTTTTTTGAGTACACAGCTACAAGAAATCACGTTTGAAAGTTAAATCTCATCTACAGAGACATATGCTCTGCACAGCTAAACACTACTGTATTTGATCACAGCCCCCAGTGCAGCACAATGCTGCAAATCTGCAAGTTCATTGGATTTGCGTTTATGGACAACCAAAGCGCAGAATAAAAACTGACTATCGAGTTTCACTTTCCAATTCCTTGCCACAACAGCCAAGGCAGATCACACACTCTGCAACTCCACCATCCATGCAGGTTGAGAGAGTCACTGGTTTGGGACCCCTCCACCATGTATTGCAAACTCAATTTAGCAATCAGAAAGCTTTTTTTAAAAAAAAAAAAAAAAACAAAAAAAAAATCCAGTTACCAAAATGACAACATCTCAACATCTCTTTCATTTTATTCAGACCATTAGCAACCACCATGTGCTTAGCTTTTGTAGAAGATAAGCCTTAACTCCACGACAAACAAAAGAACCGCAGCGTGGCCGTTTTGCCGCTATAATGAACCCGATGCACAGACGTAGTATTTCAAAAACCTCTCGCCTTAGCAGAAATGTCACACTGTAAGTCCTTCCCGGGCCAGAGGTGAATGCCTATCACCTAAAAGGCCATAAAACCAGAAAGAGTCGCCGGGGAAGTGCTGACACAGCCTTTAACCGGGGCAGATCCCCCGTCCCGCGGCCAGCCGCCTCGGCGTGGGGCGAACAACCGCCCACGGCCCCGCGGGTCAGCAGCGTCGGGCTTCAGCTGCAGGCCCGGAGAGAAACCGGCCGCTCCCATCTCAGTCTCGCCGCCGCGGAGGGGGTGTGTGTGTGTGGGGGTGTGGGGGGGTAAAAGCAGCGGCGCAGGACACGGGTGGGCCCCCGAAGGCCCACCGACGCCTGTGGGGAATTTTTTTTTGGGGGGGGGGGTGGGGAGGCCCCGCCCCGCCCCTCCCCTCGCCGCGCGGGGCGGGAGCGGCGCGCGCCTGCACACCTGCCCCAACGACAGCCAGCCGCCCCCGGCCGCGCGCTCTCACCTTGTCGCTACCCGCCGCCGCCTCATCTTCCTCCTCATCTTCCTCCTCCTCCTCCTCCTCCTCCTCCTCTTCGGCGGCCGCCCGCCGCCGCCGCCGCCGCCGCGCCGACATCGCGCCGCGGGAGCCCAACGCTCACCCGGCGGCGAGCGGGCGCAGGCGGGGCCGGGGCCGATCGAGGACGGGGGAGGGCGCGGAGGCCGCGCCGCGGAGCCCGGCCGCCTCTTCCTCCTTCTCCTTCTCTTTCTCCTCCTCCCCTGAGGAACCCGGCGCTACACCCGCCCCGGGGAGGGGGCCGCTCTGGCTGGGACCGCGGCCGGACCCCGCCGCCCCGGGAGCGGAGAAGCGCCCGCGTCCCCGCGGCGGCTGGGGCGGGGGGGGGGGGGGAGAGGGCGGGGCGCTGGCGCCCAGGTGCGCCCGGAGCCCCGCCCCCGCCTCTGGCCACGCCCCCTCACCGCCGCCACTGGCCTCGCCCCCCACCGGCGCAGGGGGCGGGGAGGGGCGGGGCCACGCCCGGCGGCGGGTGGCGCGGAGGGGAGCGACCGGCCCGGCCCCCCGGCTCTCCCGACACCCCGGTTCTCCCGGTCCCCCATGGTTCTCCCGACACCCCGGTTCTCCCGACACCCGGTTCTCCCGGTCCCGTGGTTCTCCCGACACCCGGTTCTCCAGCCCCCCGGTTCTCCCGGCCGGATGCTTCCCATCGGCCAGGGGATGGATGGCTGGTGCGGTGGGCACCCGCAACCCACCCCCCTTGTGCGCCGCCTTCCGTACCTCCCCGCAAACCCCGGTAACGCCGGCTCGTGGGGCCTCAGAGGCGCTTTCTCCTGCGTGTCGGAACGGCCCCGTCATGCTGCGTGCCTGCAGCCCACCAGTGACATCCCCAGGGAGATGGGGGGCAGGCATCTCCACGCAGCCCTGCCCACGGACACCGGTGCTGCAGCCCACTCGGGCGTCGATGGTTGCCTGCGGAGTGCTGTGCTTTGCTTTCCTCTGAGATACTTCTGCCCACCTGCCCTATATCCAGTTAAGAAGGCAGGTTTGGTGCTTGCCCCCTTCCTGCCCCACAGCCTGCCAGGCGCGGTGCCACCGGCCCGGACAGAAACATAGTGCAGCTGCCTAGGAGTTCACAGGCCAGAAAAACGTTCTGTGAGGGCAGTTAGACATGCTCTGTAACAGATATTGACCCTTCAGCTCCCTCTTCCTCTCAAAATAGCCACAGTTTGCTTAGGCTGGCTACCCCGGGAGCTGCGCGGAGCCAGACGCATCCCCTGCGCAGGGACAAGCAGACCCTGCTGAACACTGTGACCCAGCAAGCTGTCTGGAAAGCATCCCTGTCTGCTGAGACTTGCTACGATTTCACATCATTCCGGCCCAGTTCAGCTGCCCATGTCAGAGTGCCTCTCAGCTCTATCCCACTGCTGCTGGGTGATCAAGAGAGCCAATGCTGCCTTCGCTTTTCAAAGCCCGCTGAATTCCTCCGGCCGCCCTGTTACAGTGCCAGCCCCACTCCACCACGTTTGCATGGCTGCTGACGGTCCAGCCGTGGCAACAGCCGGCTGCCCCCGAGCATTCCCACAAAGAAGCTCCATCTAGATGTCACCTTGGTGTCCACAAGCTGGCCTTACTGTGTCTGCAAACACAGGGCCAGCACCTCTCGCAAGGCAGCGCTTAGCCACATCTGCGCTCATTTATGTTATCCCTATGGTGACCGGTTTCGCTGAGCTCAATCGGTTTTATTTCGTGATTTAGTTTTATTCTGTAAACAACATTATGGCTATGTCCCTCACAAGGTATGCTCGGCATGTTTTTAATGACAATGCTGCCATTCAGGAAGCTAGAGCAAGCTGCCGTGAGCGGACATGGATTATAGCGTTGATAAACTGACTCCGACCTCGCTGCCAAGAAGCACGGACACTCTGGTGTTCGGGAAGAACAGCCTTTTCTGTGAAATGTTTTACCCGTGCACTGCTGACAGTGTCAGGAGGCAGCATGCCTGCAGTGTCCCCAAGCACATGCAAAAACCTGGTGTGCAAAGAGAAGGGCTGCTCCAGCAGAGAGCAAACCAGAGACCCAACACCAGACCAGAAAGGCCACAGAGGCAGTTTCTGCCATCAGGGCCCTTTACGCACAAAGGTGACAGCAGCAGCCCGCTGCACATCAGTGATACAGCCACATGGCCTGGATCCTCTAACACTTCCCTCTTACTAAGTACAATTTTAAATGTATTTCTCCATAAGTGAAATATTATGGGGGGAAATGGAGTCAAAACACAGCTCTCCTTCCTCAGAATACGTGAGGGTGGGAAACAGTTCCCCCACAGAGAAGAAATCCCAACTATACAGGTTGAAGCTGGGCGCAGAGTAGATCCCAATGAGTAACAAGGCATCCTTTCCTCTCTCTCCTCTTTCAGTATGTTTCTACTATTGAGTTTCCCCTTGCAAATGTTTCTCCAGCCAAACTTTCAGAAGAAACCATGGTTTCCCTCGTTTCAAGTGGAAGACGTGTCTACTCTGTTGGCCCTGCAACTGGACTAGCTGTCTATAAGGAAGCATAAAAATTCATTTCCTCCGTGCAGAGAAAATCAGAAGTGGTTTGTGTGGTCCCCGCTGCTTTGCCACCTGTGGTGGTTGCGGCGTGTGGAGCAGACATCCAGGCTGCTCCCCCTTGTGCGCAGATCCCACATGCGGGTCAGCAGCCTGGGGTGGGGTGGACACCGACTGCCCTACAGCCACCACGAAGCAGCTGGGTCTTGTTCAAGAAGTACATGTCTTGTTATGGATCTTCCTGGTAAACCTGGTCTAACAAATACAGGGCTGAGAATGACTAGATGCTACACTTTTGTCACAGAAAAGGCCCTTCTGTGGTTGTCGAAACAGAGAAAATGCTTCAATAGCTGCACGAAGATCATTAAGCAGTTCTTCACCTCCCATCCAGGAGAGGAGTAGGAGCTGCCATTTCTTCTACATCTTTGCTCCGTCCTTAACCTAAACATGAAAGGGAAAAGAATTAATCTAGAAAAGCTCAGAGGAAAAAAATATTTGTCTAGGAAATGGTGCGATGGAAGAAAGTAACAATAATGGCAAAGAAGGAAAAGGTGAAGTACTCAAAACATGTTAATGAGCAGAGGCAAGGTGAGTGCAAGAAGATGAGTCACTGCATTTGGGGAATAAGAAAGAGAGCAAGCAATGAACAACTGGTGACAGTGGGGTGAGGGAATGAGCAATCTTCTGGGCAGGGCCACTGGGAGAGAGAGAATTAAAAACAAGGACCAGGCTCGCACCCAGCCTCAGCTTCGCTCCTTCTCTCTCCTGGCTGGGGGCTCCTGCTGCTGCCACCCACCTTTCACCTGCAGAGCACCTGGAAATGCCAGGTAGGGCCCGGGAAATAGCTGTAACACAGCCAAGGGTTTCAAGCCTCTCCAGACCAGAAGAAAGCAGCAAGGGTATCCCCAAAGAGCTGCAGGGCAGGGGGCACAGTGAGCAAGCCGAGTGGGAGTGTGGCTGTCCCACTTCTCCGTAGCAGTCCCTTGTAGTCATGGGAGACCAGTGTGTTTCTTGAGTCCCAGCTGGTTAGACTGGTCGGATGGGAATTTTCCACCGACACCCTGTTACTCAGGTTCCTTTGGGGCAAGTAACTACACTGGCTGGAATGCAAGTAACATCACTTCTCCCAACTGCTGTGACCCTGCGTGGTTTCACAATGTGTGGCAGAAACCGCCAAGTTCTCTGTGCACAAAGGTATTAGCATGTCAGCTGCCGACTTTTCTGATATGCAAATATGATCACCTCTCTTGTATGGGAGTTCAATATCTTCATGTGTGAGGCCTCAGGGGTTTTCTGTTGCTGTCTTGCTTTGCCTTCTCCTTGTATTCCCACATGAATTTAGTGGCTCAAAGCTGCCAGCAAACAACCCAAACTGCAGCAACCTGGCGCAACATTTTCTGTGGTGCAGGAGAGCCCCTGTCAAGCACGTCCCTGCACTTCTCCCAGGTGCCCAAAGCTAAGATGCATCCCCTGCCACTGCCACTCCCCTCCTTGCCCCATGCTCCAGTTAGCCACAGATCTGCCTTCCCCGCTTGGCCGGGAGCTGCCTCTCTGCTGTGTGCCTCGACCTATGTACAGAAGGGGGAGTTCTTCTCAGGCAGACGCAAAACTAAAGCCCTGAACATTAAAACAGTTACATAAGCCCTGCATGAAAGCACTTACATAAGCCACTTACAGCCTCCTGACAGCAAGGCAGCCAGCTAGGGGCTGCTGTGGTCTCCGCTGGCCAACAAAAACCCCCTTACGCAGGAGAGAAGCAGAAGTGGGACTGCTTCCTTGCTGCTGCTGTCAGAAGTAAATGGAAGGAACTGGTCCCCTGGCCATTTGGAAGCTGAGGAATGGAAGGTACCCAGCTCAAAACATGTGCTGGGAAGAGCGGCACATCTGCAGACGTAATGCTGAGGAGCCCTGTTGCTGGCAGTCTTGGAAACAGAAGTGGTTTGCAGCTTTTGGGTTTTTTTTAATGGGTTCCTACTAGTGCGCAGAACAAGTGAGAAGCGTGGAAAATGTCAATACCTACTGGTCAGCATAGACAGCAATGTCAAACCGATGTCAGCAATGGCTCGGTATCCCCTCAGATAATATTAATTAGGAACAATATTGTAATGTGCTGCACTTAATCAATTTATAAACTTTTTGCATCCCCAGGTCATTATAAAGAGGATAACCCCAAGCCGGAAAGAAGCAGAGAGAACAGTGGTACAGCAGCCTCAGATCATGCTGGGTGTTTGTTCTCTAGAGCACAAGGCAGTCTATTAATACCCTGTGCTCCCCAGACAAAACTGAGAGCAGCAAAACGCTGCCTGGCGCTGCCTCGAGACGGCGTGTGGGAGGAGGGCGCTGGAGCCCAGGTGCTCCAGATACGCTTGAAGCTGAAATTCCAGGTCAGAAGCTCGCTGTTACACAACCTGTGCACTCTGAGACGAATCTTCCTCCAGTTCTAAGCACTAGACTCAGATGCTGAAAAAAAGAAACGCCGCCCTGGGATATGGGAATGTATGAGTTAATCAAGAGGCCCATGGCACCCCCTCTAAATGAATACAGCATGAGCTCTAATACTGTCTGTCTGGGTTTAACATGGGTCACAAGCCAATGATGCTTTGCTAAGGCACCCTGAATAGAGCCTACATATCTGTATTTTAGTAATTTAAATCCACTGACAGCATTGGGTTGTTCTTTTGTGTTTAGTTAACATGTCATGTAATCTGTTTACATTAGCTAGTCTGGCATAAAAACATCATAGTCCATGGTATTTGTGGTCGAAAATTATTTGTTTATTACTTGCACATTTGAACTTTATAAAGTAGGCCACTTGTATGCCAGAAAAAACAGAACAACAAAACAAACTGACCTCA